TCAGACGTTACGCCTATCTCGCAGACGACTATCCGTTTGCCGTTGCGGATTAGCAGGTCAGGCCTTGAATGCTCAACTCTCCTCGGCGTGGGGATGTTCTGGTCCCATAACACTCTCTTCTCCCCATGCGTCATCGATGGCGGCCTCGTCCACGTCCAGTACTCCTCCTGCATCTTGAATCCGAGGAGCTCTAAGGCATTGCTGTAGATGACCTTGGCCACAGCATTATGTCGGTGCAGGTACTCAGCATGTTGAAGGGCTACACAAGATGTCAGGAGATGGGTTATGGACTCATCAGTCCTTCCACAGACGCGGCAGTTCGGGTCTCGTTGGCGCTTCGGGAACGATCTAGTAGGTATGCAGTTTGCCCTGACGTTCATGATGACGTTTTCCACATGAACACTCACGACCGTCTTCGAGTCGTCAATCCACCCAAAGGTTGCCTTAGTGTCGATACCGTCTGGCGCCGCCAGGGATAATTCACGCCACCACCGTCCTGCTTGGGGTTGGCCTTCAAGAACATTCCTCCATCTAGCGCTGCATGCTCCACGCAACGCTTCCGTAGTTATGGGCAGTGCTTGGTCAAGGTTAAGAGATGCGACCAATTGCGTAGCCATAGCATCAAGCTTCTTAATAGGCGATGTGGTTGGGAGTACTTGCAGCATGTCCGCAAATCGTTGGCGTCGATACTCAGCTCCTGTGATCACTGATCGGGCCCAAACGTCTTCTATACTTCTCACCCCTCGTCCACCGTCTTCCCTCCGTATATGGAAGAGGGCAGTGGATGATGAATGCGACAGAGCCCCCGCCCTCCGGAATGTATTACGGACTGCCACATCTAGGTCAACAGCCTGCGTTCGAGAGATGACACCAGCACCACACGCATACTGCGCAACTGGGATTGCCCACTCATTCAGGGCATGTACCGTCCTGGCAGCAGGCAGGCCCAGCCGTAGAATCTTCTTTACCCTGAACTTGAGCTCATTCTTAATCCTCCTATACGTCTCAGGGCCAGGCACAAGGCTCTGCTCAACACCAAGGTACTTGTACGTAATATCACCCTCCAAGTAGGGCATCTCCTGTAGCTCCGCTGGGGCGCCCAACACTGCATCCCTCCACGGCTCAGGAACGCCGTTCCGTATAGACAACCATGCGCATTTAGGCTTAGAGACACCAAGACCAGCCCTGTTCGAGACCCGAGAGGCAGTGGCCACCTTCTCACCTAGCTCACGCGGGCTACGACAATATAATTTGTAGTCGTCGATGATGGCTAGATGCGAGATAGTCACACCATTCCGGGCCCTTCCAAAGCTGTATGCCCCGGGGCAGTGCTTCAGGGCCGCCGTCAGTGGTGATGTGCAGATCACAAACAAGAGGACTGACAGGGCGTCTCCTTGTAATAATCCTCGTTGAACCGGGACCGATTCTGCTATCCGCTCAGCTCCACGGTAGAGCTGCACCCTCCATTGGGCCCGGGTCGATGAGAGCCAGGCTCTAAAGTTGGGGGCAAGCTTAAACATCGTCAGCCAGTAGTCCACCCAAGTAGGGAGTAGGCCATCATATGCCCTTTCCAAATCCAACCAGGCTATGGCACATCGATGTCTGGCTTGTCGGATATGGTGCGTCGTCAGGGAGTCAAGCCAGAGTTGGTGTAGGCATCCCATACTCTGGGAGCGGCTTCCCTGTTGCTCTCTAGGCATTATGAGTTCAGATTTCTCGCAGTGGGCATATAAGACATCGTAGACGACTCTAGTGAACACCTTGTAGGTTGTGGGTAGGCATGATATAGGCCGGTAATGCCGTGGTTGTCGCTGCACACCGTCTGGAACCTTCTTAGGTGTTAAATGGCATCTCGCCGTCGTGAACCAAGGTGGGCTGTCAATCGGGTTGTCCAGGATCCTCTGATAGCAGCGGGCCAGGGCCGAAGAGATCACACCACAGAATAGCTTGAGCCATATCATCCTCACGCCATCCGGTCCGGGGGCTTTCCAACTTTTGGCCCCACGGATCGTTGCAGCTACAGTCTCTGCCGAGATCACAATAGGTTGCATTCCCTCAGCGCCCTCAAGGTCGTTGAGCAGCTTCTCCTGCCATGGCCCGTCCATCTCGATCGACTGGGCCTCTTCTTCGGCCGTTGGCCTTCTCCATACTTCACCCCAGAACTGTGCCACTCCAGCGCTCTCAGGCTCCTCTTCCTGTTGTGCCTCTTGGCCATCATCATCAGGTTCCTCCTTCCTGAGACGGTAGAACAGGGCTCTGTCTCGGGCCATTTGATTCTTGAATTCGCGCTGTTGGCGTCGGTGCTTGATCGTACGGATCCTCTCACTGACATGCTCAAGTTCCAGAGTCTTCCTCGTTTTGAGGTTGTGGAGGGCGTTCTCAGAGGAACCAAACTTCTTGCGGAGTTTGGCCGTCTTGTTCCTCATCCTTGTGGTCCAGAGCCTCGGACTTCGCTGCTGAAGTTGACAGATCCATCCTAGCTCCCGCCTCAGCCTGTCATGGGCTCGCTGTAGTCTCAACAGTCCTCCATTAATCCTCGGCTCCTCACCAGCAGCCCTTCGCGGTCGCCTGTCCCTCGACTCCGCTTCCTCTATGAGGACTTTCGCAGCTGTATACACTGCCGCATTCACAGTTGTAACCGATACACCCGGGGCGTGGACCACCCTCTGTATCTCAGCCAATAGAACCGACGATCTGTCAACCAGGTAAGAATCGTAGTATCGCTTCTCCCCACGTAATGGAGGCCGATCAGTCTCTTGGGTCCATCTCTCATACTCGCCCTTGAACTTTTCGCGCAAACGGTCGTCAGCCTCTCTCCGCTCGAGCATTTGAGCAGCATTGGCACCACCAGTTCGGACACCTTGGTGGGGACGTTCCTCACGTAGCACTTCTGCCACCGCAGCAAGAGCATCTCGGACTGGGTTAAGCTGCCCTTGCTCAAGATCATCGGGATGCTCGTCAGGGTCACGCCGCAGGTCTTCCCGATCATCAGGATTGGGGTCTGCACGTCGTCGTAGAATTTCGACCTTCGTGTTGAAGTCCTCGCGTTGTCGGATTCGACGCAGGCGTACACTGACCTGTTCCGCCGTCCTCTCAGAGTTGGGTAAGGCCTCGTAGAAGTATCTGTGTAACGTAGCCTCTTGCTTCTCACCTGCCACTCGGTTGGCCGGGTTTAACCAGTGGACATAAGCAGCGATGATACAATCATCTTCATGCTCTTCCCACCTGGTCCATAACCGCCGCGTAGGGCCCCTTTGTGCGGGCAACTGAA